GCCCCCCCCCCCCCCAGTATTCTATGTGACTGTGCAAGTGACATCAAGGACTGTACTTCAGTAATACAGCAACTGCTTTAAATAGATTAGGTAGATTATGGTTACTTTTTCTAATCCATGTAACAGTTCTTATTGTGAGAAAATAACATTATGATTCCTACCCTGCTGCAGCATAGGATGACAAGAGGCAAAGAATGGAAGGAAAAATGAGAAGGCCCTTCAGCAGCATCTTGTTCAGTCAGTTTCTTCAACGGCTGTTTTAGTCTCTTGCGTCTCCGGAGGCTTTATTTTTTTTACTCTTCAGGAGTTCTTTTTGGAGCAAAAAAGAAAATCGTGTCAATATACTCAGCAGTCAGTGATTCATGCAGTCAGCCCAGAAACATCCCCTCCCCTTTCCCTTTCACTGCTGACACTGTACATGGCTGCCGAGCTCTTGTAATGAACATTGTTTAATTATCATGCAGACAATGGCTACAGTACGTACCTGTACTGAAAACAACAGATGGAGAGATATTTCAGGATCATGGATGAGTGTGGGACGAGTCTGTGAAGTGCAAAGTATGTACCACACCCTCATTGATGAGTTTAGACGTGAAGTAAGCTAATGATAATGTGGAAAATATGCCCTAGCCACAAGTGAGTCAGAAGGGTACACTGTATAGGATTACTTCCCACAGCCTCTGACAGAATCTCCTTACACTGCTTTTTTCTTTATGAGGTATACGAAAGCTTAGTGCTGTACAGAGAGGAGAACTCTTCACAGAATACTGTATTTTTACTAATGTGTGGTCGGTGATGATGACTTTCACATGAATGAAGAAAATCTGTATTAGTGCCTCTGTCCCTTGTGGAAACGTTTACTGTACAAACTTTTAGACTAATGCACAATACCTAATAATAGAATATACCAACAAAAAGAGCGTTATTGATATCTATGCCCACTGTTTTCCAAACTTTATATATATATATATACATACCTCCCAACTTTCTGAGATGGGACATAGGGGCGCTTTATAGCACAAGCTATGTAGGCAAAGTACATACCACTGTTACAACCCTATTATGAGTTCCACGAACAATTAATATGCAAAAATTGATTGGTTAAATTATCAAAAGCTTTTTTTTGCCACTACTTTTCCATTCTGATGGCTTTTCAAATTAACAAATTAAAAGAAAAGTAAAACCAAAACGGCTTCTGTGAACTCCTGTGCAGGGCCGGACTGGGACTAAAAATAGGCCCGGGCATTTTAGACTGAGCAGCCCAATCACGTGACCACTGACAGGCCCCATCCCTCACAACAGGGGGCGGAGCCAAACATAGAAGCGCAATCGAGAGGCAGGGCCAGCCACTAATAAGTACCGGAGAGCTACAGCTGAGACACAAGCCTTGCTACAACCAATACACAACAATATAGGAAGCTTGCTATAGAGAATATCTGTAAAAAATAAGTTAAGGCAACTGGACTTGCTTTATTTTACTTGAAGACGTTTCACTAGTCATCCAACCAGCTTTCTCAATTCAGAAATGTTATAGCCGATGGCCAGTCCGGCCCTGCCAGACTGGCCATGTAACAAAACTATTCGCACTGACCGTCAATGTAACAAAAGTGTTCACAATGACCGCCAATGTAAGTCAGGCAGTTTTTTCTTCCTTAGCAGGGGGGGCGTCGGCATTGATTTGCATATGAATTAGTCACAATATATGATATACATATGAATGGGCCGCGGTTTATTGATATGCAAATCACGGCGGCCCATTCATATGTAAATATATCGGCCGGGACAGGGGACAAGAACTGCACCAGCAAGCTCTGGAGAGAGCACAGAGTAAAGACTAGAGAGAGCTGGGTGAGGAAATGTTTTTCCGGCCTCCCCCACCAGCTCCCTCTACTGTCTACTGTGTGGTAGTGCCGGCTCTGCTCAGAGTCGGCAATCAGGCATAGCGCACCGGCCCGAACACAATCAGGTTGATTGTGTTCGGCCCGGCCCACCGGGCAAGTGCCCGGTTTGCCCTATGGCCAGTCCGGCCCTGCTCCTGTGACCAAAGTCAGACGTGTTGCAGCAGGGAAGGATCCTGACAATATTGTTGGGATCCATCAAGCTGCCTGATTGACAGCTGGCTCTGCCTCTCTAGATCCAGATTCAGCTGTGCCCATCCTTTCCCATTCTGTCCCTTCAGCAAGTGTTACATGAAGAGAGAGGGTGCCACATACCTTGGTCAAGACCGACCTGATGAGGGGGCTTTTCTTGCACCTCTCATCCAACACCCCTGAAAGTGGGACAGGGAGTGTAAGGATGCAGAGTGGCATTATTGCCAGTGTAGCAGGTAGAGTTTAAGTCCAGCAGCAGAAGGGCCGAAACAGGTATCAGGAGCAGAGTCAAGGTCAAACCAGCCAGGCAGTACGATACCAGATCAGAAGCAGGATCGGGGTCACAAGCCGAGGTTGGTAATAGACAATCAGAGCAAAACAAGGCAGAAGGCAGAATCCAGTAAGCAGGCCGAGATCACAATAGATAAGCAGAGGTCCAAGGAGAGGTCATGAGGCATGCCGGGTCAAACACAGGTAACAGTAATGCAAATCATAGGTAAGCAGGGAACTAGCTGAATACCACTTAGCAAATTGTGTACATGGCCCTTTATATAGTCCTGTCTATTATTGCATGTCCTATGCTAATGCATGCGCCTCCATGCTCATTTGTGTGTGTCAGTGCGTGTATTCCTGCCCGCATTTCTGCACACGCAAGTTCGTGCACACCTGCATGCTACTGCACATTTATCTAATGTTCTAAGTACAGGACCAAGGGCAACAGTCCATGCACATGCTGGTATGTGCAGAACTTTTCTTACAGAGGGGAGGGGGAATCCCCGTGGGGAGCACTGACTTACAGTTGCTGCTCTCTGTAGGTGGAAGGCACCAAGAGCTGAGCATTCAGCAGTCTCTTGGTCTTAGAGCCTGCGTGTGACAGCTGCAGAGTCCCCAGCTGGCACTAAGCTACAAGGAGAGTATATTTTATTGTCCTAGCACTTGAAGGCTGGATACATAGTTTTGTGTATTGTAACACTTTTGGTACATTTATAGTCCCCTTTTTTTGAGGTATTGTATATACATCAAACTATAAACAGGACCAGCTAAGGAGAAAAAAGGAATTTGGTTCCAAAAGGGGGACAGTTCTTCCAAATGAGGGGTACTTTGGAGTTTTGTTTAGCAATCGTTTCTTCACAATCCTTTCGGCCAGCGTTCACTGAAGCGTTCGCTGGACGCAAGGATCCGAGTGTCGGCGCAGATTCAGCTACACGGTCTGCATTCAACAGATGTAGACCATGTCCGCAGCTGCGATCCCTCCTGTCAGCTCTCTCTTTCTCCTCCCGGCCGTTCTGTAGCTGCAGAGGCCAGGAGGAGAGAGCGAGCTGACAGGACGGGTCGCATCGGTGTGGACCTCAGCACTGCCTGCCACTATCCCCTCCGCAGCTCATCTGACGGCACCATCTCCCTGCCCCCGCACCTTTCGGCGGCCAGCAGCTTCGGGCATAGGGGCCGGGCCGAACACAATCAGCCTAATGTTCGGCCCGTCCTGGCCCCTATGCCCCCTATACAGCACAATCCAGAATACCACCAGCTATAGAGGAATACAACAAATCCCAGCAATACATTATACGGTGTATAATGTATTGCTGGGATTTGTAGTCCTCTATAGCTGATGGTACATATACAGCACAATGTACCATCAGCTATAGAGGAATACAAATCCCAGCAATACATTATAGAGCACCATGTGGGGGGGAGTGCAGGCTTACCTGAGCAGTCTTCCAGCAACTTGCTTCTGAGATCGGGCCTGAGATCCCATGCCTGCTCCTCCTTACTTCTTCTCCCCCTGTCCCTGTGCCGGTCGTGGACATTGGCAGCAATAGTGCATTATACAGCGCAATGCAGAATACCGCCAGCTATAATGTACTATTGCTGTGATTTGTAGTCCTCTATAGCTGGTGGAATTCTGCATTGAGCTGTATAATGTACTATTGCTGGGATTTGTTGTATTCCTCTATAGCTGGTGGTATTCCGCATTGCGCTGTATAATGTACTATTGCTGGGAGTTGAAAGGTCGTGACTGTGTCAGTGGGGCGGAGATCGGGGTATAGCAGGCCATGTGGTCAGTATTGGATGTTGGGGACAGGGTCCATGTTGGGGTGGTGAGGGACGGGTGCTCAGTGTCAGGTGTTGGGATCCTTTTGAGGTCCCTGGCAAGTCAGTATCAGGTGTTGGGGTCTCATGTGGGTCAGTGAAGGTGTAGGGGCCTAGTCCCAGTTGGACTGGCTGCTTGTAGTTCACAATTAATACAATGCCATTATAGAACATAGAATAAAACATAGATAAACTTAAATGGCATTGTAGTACTTTCAGGTGGACAGTAATTAATAATTTGGACTTTTAGTTCCCTAGCTGATATATGGGGGTGGGGGTACAGTTCCAGTGGATGTTTATATAATGAAGGGGGGCAAAAAAAATTCTGCCACAGGCGCCCATAACTCTGGTTACGCCACTGCCGCCGCCCTGCTGTGTTTTTTGCATTGAAAAACGGAAGAAGATGTAGCGGGGGTGTGGCCTGTCAGGGAACTCCGATTCCCAGCAGGCTGCTGACGAGGGAGCTGGCGGGATACACGCTGTAGGACGTCCTGGCAGCGTGGTCAGCGAAGATTAGGGAGCTGGAGGCACAGAGATCAGGAGCTGTTAGGGAAGACGTTCTGGAGGAGAGCTGCAGCAGGTCCAGGTAGGTACTGATCGTTGTATATGTGCAGGTGTTGTTGTCTTGCAGTGTCATTTGTTTTCCAACCAAAAATTAATAAATGCTTTAAAGTGTTATTAAACCCTCAGGTGTTGTTGCATATATGTACGGCTACCAAGCAGTAGATATATGCAAAAACTTTTTTTTTTAAACCCTTTCAAACCGGTTTGAAAAAAAAAGGTGTCAAAATCATGGGGTTTTTTTTTGGGGGGGGGCATTAATGGTTTCTTGCATCAGGGCCCAGAGGTTTCTAGTTACGCCTCTGACAGGTTACACAGCAGGGGAAGCTTCCTCACTGTGTAACCTGTCCTGGACGGAACGTTGCCTGTTAATTAAAGGTGGTGCTGCATCCGGCTTTTGACAGGCAGTTAGGTTACACAGCAGCGGCTTCCCCACTGCTTGTGTAACCTAACTTGGCGAGGCAAGAGCTGTAACAGCCTCTACTCTGTGTTAGAGGCATGAGCTCTCTTGATGGCTTGGACCAATGGCAAAGCACCATTGGCCCAAGCTGTCCAAT